TTCCTAGAATACAGGATGTTCTACCTAAAACAAACTACACATGTAATAATGATCTTTGATTGCAACTGGATGTATAGAACGTTACCTACATACAGTAAAACGTGAGTAACGAGGAAAATAATTTTCGTTACATCCTATTCACTTCTTGAAATTTCATCAATTACATATAGGAAATTTTTGAAATATCTGGTTGCGATTATAAGTAATTATTTAACGTTTTTTCAAATTCGAACATCCTGCATAGGAAAATATTTAAAACAGACTGTTAACAAAACCTACTTTGTCAAAATTATAATTTACCATTCTGTGTTATATCGTTTGCGAATTAAGGAATTAAATGTCCTTGTAAATATGAACGAAGAACACACTGCAATTGATATTTATATTTCTTCAGTTTCTACCGACAAGGGAATATCCCCAATACTTCAACCAAGACTATCTGTACACAAGTTTACATGAAAGTAGATTAACATCTTGCTTGAGAAATTAACAAAAAATTACGAATGTCTGATATATTATTTAAACAAACGGATTTTTCTAAAAAGTAATGGTGCGTTCGTCGTTGTGAAACATACAATCTCTATGATAACAGATAAAGAAAAGTACAAATATTATTTCGAGGACTACATCATACGTAAATTTCACGAGAATCGATGAGTGATAATTGGGGACACTCCCTTTAAGGAAATTCAATTAAGAAACAAGACAATGCTCAAGAAGTTTGCCAAGTAATAACGAACGTAATAATGACTGCAACTTACAAATTACTTCACACGTTTTGTACAGATTCAACAAATGCATATGAATTGTAAAAATGTTAGTAACACTTAATTTCCACGACTTGACGCTCGTTATTTCTTGAATTCACCTTTCTACGCAGTGGCTATAATTTGTTTCATCCGACGAATTAAACCTCGTTTAATTTTCTTTCTTTTATTTATCTGTAAAATTCCTACTCTTCGTTTTTCACCGTCGTACACGCGAATACGTTTCTTACGTTTCGGCTTCCCTTTGTAAGTTAACGCATGCATACATTTTGCCGAAACATTTCCTTTGTTTCTGTATTCAGTTGCGAGTAACGACGCTCGATTTTTAAGAAAAGTATATATGTAAAAGGTAGTAAAGCGAGAAGTATATGTGAGGGAAAGCAGCGTGCGAAAACGAGAAGGAAAGAGAGAGAACGAAGGAATACTATGAACCAGTGGCGGCTCGTGAGAATTTGTAACGGGGCTGTAGCAATAAAGGTAAAAAAGATCGACATGGATTGAAAAAATTGCATCGTTAATAAGGCTAAAGGTGATTTTTTAGAAAGCGAACGGTATCGCCGATTTCGAGGATTTTTAAATATACATATATATAAATTTAACAGCGGCGATGATAAAGCAAGAACTTTTATTTTATACCGGAGAGGCTGCGCCCTGCAAACCTTACAGACGAGCCGCCGCTGCTATAAAACTATCGTCTGAATCGGTGTGCTGTAACAAACATAAGAATCAATTAACACTGTGTACATAGCTAAGGATAAGAAACTGAACACTGCGGAAGTGCATTCAACGTCACTGTAAAATACACGGAAAATCGAATTGCTGGATATTGTACGTCTGTATTATCGTTTGTCGAATAATGTATCTTATATTACCGAATAATAAAACGGAAAAGACTTATCGAAATCGGAATTTCTACTTTTGCATTGATCGATCCTTACTTTATCGAAGTATGACATTCTTTCATCCAATACAGGCCGAGGCAAGTACAACCGAGTAATTATCAACGTAATACACCAAGTAATGAACCGAAAATAAAGAGTAAAGTTTGTGTTAAGGCGTATCCTGTAGCCGGATTTATGGCATATGAGATTATGGCTATTGCATTCGGTAGATTGGTCAGAAATTGTTTATAATTTTTATTAAAAACTAGAAAAATTGATATTCTTTTCGTATGGATTGCAGATGAACCTTACAGGATACCATAGAAATGAAGGAAAGGACTTGAACATCAGCAAAAATGAAAAAATGCAATTATTTATCAGAAATTAATTATTCGCTGTAAAATAAATATACAAAATATATTTTACAAAAGGTTACATTATACCAGTTACAGGCTAATTATATCTCCTTTATACACCACGTCCATTTCCTTAAAAGCTCATTGCCTAAACAATATTCCATTGCAAAATTAAGTAAACTATGTCTGGTAAACCACTAGGAAGGCGTAAAAGTCGAAAAAATCCCGAAATTTAAGCGAAAACAGACGCTTTATCTAGGTCGAACGTAATCAGCTTGCCAACCAAAATAAGCACCGAAGAACTGGAAACAGCGCAAGCAGACGGCGAAGAAGTAAAAGTATTGCGACAGGGAAAAACTTCGCTCAAATTGGAAGAAAGAAAAATGGACAACAGAAGAATATTTGGCAGCACCGAATAAAACAGACCATGCATCCCAGGCAACCTCGGAAGAAAAATATTCAACAGCTACCAGAAGCTAGCTCGCGCCAGTGGTCGGGCCACCAAAAGAGCCATAATTCAAAAAGTAGT